ATGATCATATTAAGAGCAACTGCATTCCATTCGCTGATGATGTAAAGCTATTCAACACACAGACAATACTTCTACCCTCCAAAAAGACCTTGGCTATGTATCAGAATGGTCAATCAAATGGCAACCTCAAATCTCAACAAATCAATGCTCTGTCTTACATATTGGCAGAAAAAAAATATCAGAAAATAAAATATAAGCTAAATAGTCAAGACCTTGTTGAGGATCCAAACTTTGTCAAGGACCTTGGAGTACTCATCTCAAATGATTTAAGTGCTAGAGCCCACTGCAACTACATAGCCAAAAAGGCATTAAGAGTTGTTAATCTAATCCTACTAGCTTCTTCTCTGATAATATTACACTACTAACTAGAGCATACAAAACATTTGCTAGACCTATACTTGAATACAGCTCATCAGTCTGGAATCCATATCATGTATTAACACAATTGAAAAAGTCCAGAAATATTTCACAAGAAGAGTTCTCCACTCCCCTACTCGTTGAAGAAGACCTTATGCCACCAGACTCGAAATTCTAGACCTAAAAAACCTAGAACTATGCCGCTTTCAGTCTGATCTATATAGTATATAAATCATGCATTGTAATGTCCTACCTGTCAATGAATACTTCAGCTTCAACCATAACAACACAAGAGCAAACAATAGATACAAACTCAAGGTTAACTGCACCAAACTTGATTGCAGGAAATACGACTTCAGCAACAGAGTGGTCAATGTCTGGAATACTCTACTTGACTCTGTGGTTTCTTCCCCAAACCCCAAAAACTTTAACCTTAGACTGTCTACTATTGACCTCACCCCTTTCCTAAGAGGTCTGTAGGGGGCGTGCATAAGCGCACCAACGTGCCTACTGTCCCTGTCCTATTGCTTCTTTTAATTTTCTTATATGTACCCATTTCATGTATTCATAACTATGGTTATACTTATACCTGTTATCTTGTAATCACTTGACAAAATAAATAAATACTAAAATAGAGTTGGAAGGGACCTTGGAGGTCTTGTAGTCCAACCCCCTACTGAAGTAGGAGACCCTGTACCAGTCTTTTCTTTGTATTAATTTATTTATTTAGTCATGTTTATGTAGCGTACATTGGAGGTGGTGACCCTTGGAGAGCTGTAGGCAACGAAATTTCATTTTAATGTATGCCAATTAATGTACATTCAAAGTGACAATACAGTTATTCTCTCTGTCTCTCTCTCCCTCTCCCTCCCCCTCTCTCTCATCTATTTATCATCTATCTCTATCTATCTATCTATCTATCCATCCATCTATCTATCTATCTATCTACCTACCTACCTATCTATCTACCTACCTACCTACCTACCTACATGAACTTGATTCTGTCCCTCTGTTAATAAAGCCTAGATCTATCTGTCTGTCTGTCTGTCTATCTATCTATCTATCTATCTATCTATCTATCTATCTATCTATCTATCT